AAAAAAAAGACATGTCTTTAATTAAATCAATGACAGTTGACCTTCAGTTTATGTAATTTGTATTTTCACAACCTGCTTGATCGGAGCTTGCATAATAAAATGATGACTACAAAAGTACTTTTTTTTTTTTAACGTAATACACATAGTTTGCATAGTACATTTGATAGCAAAGCTAATGACTTTTCAATGCTTCTATTTCCATTAAGATATTTTTTGCTTCTTTTGTAACATTTATTGAGTGCTTACTAAGCCCTGGACATTTATCTAGACATCAAAGAAAAAAGATGAGCAATACAGGTAGACTTGACAGATTAGCAAAACTAAAACAGGTCCTATATTTTACCTGACAAACCCCAAAGACAGGATTATCTTTAAAATATAAAATGGAAAACTCACAGTGAAACAAAGCAAAATATACTCTTCAGATATTTCCAATTTTTTAAATTCTTCCAAATAATCTAGATATATCTAAAAGTAGATTTTAAATGTAATTGTTGAACAATAGGAATATCTTTGTAAGAGTTTCATAATAAAATACTTATGTGGTAAAATAAGTTCAGGATCACTGCATAATACCTCTTCTTGAAGCTTCATAATGCACTTGTAATTTTAAATACTCTAGAAAGTCTTGCAATAAAGAACTGTTTTTGTTTTAACTTGGTGTCTCCAAAATCCGTTTGACCAGAGAAACTTTTTAAATGGAATGCCTACTCACATCTCACTCAAATACTTTAAAACACACTTTGAAAAATTGTAGACCTTTCAATCTGTCATGCTGCCAGTGTTGTAATTAATTAGATAACTTCTTTTAGAGATATAATATGGACAGATTTGAGAGGCTTTCTAAAACTATGTCAAGAAAATTTTTTCTGATAGGCCACAAAATGTCTTTTATTTAGTAATATATGAATGTAAACTATTTAAATAATTGTTTGAAAATCATAGGGGAAAAAACTAAAATTATCTGAGGTATTTTTGTTTTTGTTTAATTCAAATTATTTGGACCTTCAAGCCATTGGAATTTTGTTTTATTTTCATAAGGGCTAGATAAATTCTGAGATTGCTGTGCAAATCTTTTAAAAACAATAAACATCTCATTTAGCATTCAGGGTTCTATCTGTATCTGACAAGTTAAAAAATTACTTTCTCTGATTATAGACTGTTATAACATTGGAACATTGGTTAGTTAATTTCTCTATGCCTTAAAAAACTTTATATTTTTTAATTTAAGAGGTTTTTCTTTCATGTTCAAGAAAAATATGAGATATTAAACATTCTACTTCATTTGAAAAGAAAAGGATCAAAGAGTTAGAATTTGGTAGAAAGGCCTAAAAAAGAATCTTTTAGGGTTAAAATGGTATAATAAGAAATATTGTACTATTATTTGTTTGCTTCAGAAAATACTTACACCCTGCCCAGGAATACAGTTTCTAAAATAAAACGTGTTTCCAAGTTCCCATGTTTTTTGAATTTCAAGTCTAGGGATACTAATCACTATTTTATAGTTAAGGAAAACCAGCAAAGACTATGTGATTTATTAAACAAATAGTTACCTTTGAAAATTAGAATTAAATCTAAACTCTATATATATTTAGATATTTCTAAATTCAATTTAGAAATTAGGTATTCTAATAATTACTTGGTAAAAAAACCAGTGATAGCCATAGATTTTTTTAACATATATCTCTATTTTCAGTAGACAGCCTTTATTCTATCTCAGTGTGAAACCACCCTTAAGACTTTATGTCTTTATGTAAACGTAGAGGCAGTTAGTTATCCCTAATTTCTATTTCCCCCTCAAGGAGTTTACTGCAACAGAACCTGGGATGGATGGCTATGCTGGAATGATGTTGCGGCAGGAACCGAATCAATGCAGCTCTGCCCTGATTACTTTCAAGACTTCGATCCCTCAGGTAAAAGCAGAAATTTATTTACGTATCTCCTTGACATCTATTTAATAAACTCTAGATTAATTAAATTACTGTTTTCCTTCTTTTCCTTTTTAATTTTAAAGAAAAAGTTACAAAGATCTGTGACCAAGATGGAAACTGGTTTAGACATCCAGCAAGCAACAGAACATGGACGAATTATACCCAGTGTACTGTGAACACACATGAGAAAGTAAAGGTACATAATAATTGTGTTTTAAATTTAATTTACACTATCTGTTCAAACAGTTAGTTGTCCAATACAGTACTGGAGAAAATTTAGTCAGTGTTCCATTCCCTTATAAAACCTTTTCATAATATAATTTAAGAAAAATAATGAAGAAAAATATCTGTGGAAAGAATTACTATTGATTTTGTCATTACAAGGAGGAAGCAATCCTGTTAGGTAATAGTGGATTTACAAGTCAATGTCTCAGTATTGGGGTTTCAAGTTTTCCAAAGAAAACATACCTTAAAAGTGTAAGAAAAGGAAACACTTTCATTTGTAGTGGAATTTCTAGAATTACCTCTGAATTTGTGCTCAAGTAAACAGGATAAGCCCAGCAGGGTTTAAACAGCCTATCTGGTCCCTCAACAGAAGACTTTCATTCTTACTGGCTGCTAGGTCACTTGCGTTCATGTTCCCATTTTTAACGCCACATATTAAAGTCCAAGTTAATCACAGTTTGTCCCAATAATAAAGCTTTGATAGAAAATGCTTGCATATTTCACATTTGTCTATTTAGAGGCTGTTTGTCACAATGATTAAAGCTGTGAATCCTGATATCTGAATTCCTGTTTCTGCCCCCTCCTAGCTGTGTGACCTTCCACAAGCCATTTAACATCTCTCTGCCTCAGTCCCCTCATGTGTACAATGAAGTAAGAATACATTACACCCTCATGGTTTTCATAAGGATTGACCTAACACAAGAAAAATACTTGGAAGATTAGCATATAATAAGCACTTGATAACTTCCAGCTATCATTATATTTATAAACCATATATTCTATGCTTACTCAGAGAAGGGTTTGAAGAGAATTATAAAAATACACAATAAAATGGTAGAGTACAAATAAATAGAATGCAGATGAATAAAAATAAAAGACAAAAAGTCAAAAACAGTAGAAGGAAGACATTTGTACAGATCATAGGAACTTATAAGTTATTGTACTGAGATATGTCTCTGAGATTCAAATTTGCCAAAGGAGAAAGAAACTCAGTGGGGAAAGAAAACCTTCTGTGGTATTTAAGTTTGAAGAAAATAATTCATCAAGTTGCCTTTGATTTAAAGTACATAAAATATAAAATGCTAGTGTCATATATTATACAACCTAGATCAATGAAAGTATTACTTCATGGATTTAAAATTTGACTTCTAATTTTTTAAACAAAAGAGCATACAATTTGTAAATTTTGATGTGACTTGATAAATTCCCATACATATTCTTCATTCCAGATATTTTCAAGCATTTATTTGTTTGCAAGCTAATCGTTTTAAGGCTAGGATATCAGATCACATGTTTTTAAAAATAAAATGTATTCCATTGTATTTGAGCTTTTACACATGTAGGATTATAGGTACTCATAGTATTGATATAAGTCTAATTTTCTTTATTCGTACAAATTATAGACTGCACTGAATTTGTTTTACCTGACTATTATTGGACATGGATTATCTATTGCATCACTGCTTGTATCACTTGGAATTTTCTTTTATTTCAAGTAAGTATATAAAAATGTTTTTAAAATTTACCAGTTGTCTTTGGTGAATGCAGTGTCATGTGTATGTTTATGTCATGTGCTGACAAAATATATGAAATATACGTGATTTATAATATAGATGCTTAAAATAACTTGAATGTTTAAAATAAATTGAAATAAGTTGATCTTAGCTTTATAAAATATGTAGAGGAGACTGATGAAACATCTTAACTCCAATTTTACAAAACTAGTGGGCATATAAGAACAAAGTCATATAATAAGAAAGGAGCCCAAACCAATCTATAAACCTAACTGTATTTGTTTTGCAAACTGTCAAATTTGTTTTGGGAACTGTAGGCCTTCTTAACTGAATGTTCAACATTTTGATCAAATTTAATGTCAGTATATAAGTGCATTATAGGAACTGGGTTTTTTTGCAAATAATAGCAATGGCATTTAATATATATTATTGAAAATATAATCCAAATATATTATGGTTAGGTTATTTTTCCTAGTCATCATTAAAAAGGTTAAATTATTACTTTCAATTTTACTTGAAATTCACTTCTTTTTGGGGAGGGGGAGTTAGCTCCAATTTCTTGAATCAACCAATCAACAAGTGATTTTTAAATTTATAGAAAGGTAAATTTCTAATCATGCATTATTTTATGCCTTAACATGATTTTCATAATTTTGATCAACAACAATAACTATAGAAAGCAGTGTGACAAGAGTAAGTAGCTATATTTCATCGAATCTTCATCACCATTGTTGTTGTCTTTTACATAAGCAGCAACAGTCATCTTGGGTATTAGCAGCTACAGAAATATCTGAAGTAGCAGCATATACAAATAAGTCAAATCCAGAAATTATCAGATAGTTAGATTTTCTGTCTATATGTAACTTGAGCATAAGTTTTTAGCCCATTGTCCATTAAATATTCAGAATACATAGAATAATAAACCAACCAATCAACCATTGTCTCTCATGGGCTCAAAATCATGAGATCTAAAGATTACATCAGAGTTGCCATTTTTGAAAATCTGCCCCTCTTAAGAATCAACATCAGTTATTTTATTTTATTTTATTTTATTTTGAAATCTACAAGGATACTCTTTAATGGCATTTTGTTTTATTACATTATCTGGACACCATTAGAAGATAACAAAAAAAACCCACTCTAAATAAAGCAAATTAAATATTTGTGTATATGTTTAAATGTGATATTTCCTTTTGTAAATTGTGTACAAATGTATTTAAGTTAGTTGGAAAGAGTTTTTATCCTAAAACATGGAAAATATTTCTTGAAGAATTAAATATACTATACTACATTTTACAACAAGCTACCAAGTGTTTCTTGCTCACAACTAACTGCCAGTTCTCAGTCACTGCCTTGATAATTAGTACGTCACATCAGTTGCTTATGGACAGTTTATTAAAACTTCATGCCGGCCGGGTGCGGTGGCTCACGACTGTAATCCTAGCACTCTGGGAGGCCAAGGCGGGAGGATTGCTCAAGGTCAGGAGTTCGAGAGCAGCCTGAGCAAGAGTGAGATCCCATCTCTACTAAAAATAGAAAGAAATTGGCCAAACAATTAAAAATAGAAAAAATTAGCCGAGCATGGTGGCGCATGCCTATAGTTCCAGCTACTCAGGAGGCTGAGGCAGGAGGATTGCTTTAGCCCAGGAGTTTGAGGTTGCTGTGAGCTAGGCTGACGCCACTGCACTCTAGCCTGGGCAACAGAACCAGATTCTGTCTCAAAAAAAAAAAAAAACCTGTAAAACAGCATTACAAAAACAACAAAGTGCAATATCAAAGATTATGTGAGCGTTTGGGTGTTGGTACTATGGTTTTCCTTCTTCTATTCAGATTTTCTTTAAAAAAACATGGCTTAGGCCGGGTGCGGTGGCTCATGCCTGTC